GATGAGGACAGTTCTCTGTTCTTGAAATAAGTTGGTAAGTCGTAAGGCTATTCTTATAGGTCTCTGCAATCATTTCTCACAACTCCAGTCTGTTCGCTGTTCATTGGGCATATCTTTCAACGCTTAATCTATTCATAGGGCTCTTTCTTGATTTGTAGGTGCCAGTAAGGCAGTTCTACTAAAAATATTGATCTGTAAGCTCCCCTGAGGAGTTTTTTCGACAATTATCCAGTTAGCGATTATTTGTAGGGTGGTTCCTTCTCAAAGTATCGGTCCGCAAGGGGAACATTCCATTTTCATATTTATAGCTCTAAAGGTGGACCATAATGCGCTTTTTTTCAGATATGAATTTGAAGAGGAGCGGAAGGGCTCGTAGAATCGTCATACAATTATCGTTCCATAAGCTTCTCATCAGGCACTTTTTAGGCTCGTACTTGTTTCTCAAAATGCTGATGTATAATACTATCGGTCTGTAAGCGGTACGTAGGCCAACTCGATCGTGTAGGGAAACAGATTTTTATACGCTTGAGGCAGCTCTTATAATTTTTAAACGTTCTTCAAGCGGCACTTAGGGCATGAACTGTCTTCTAGATACAGATAATATTGGTTTGTAAGCAGCACGTAGGGCAACTCGATCGTGCAGGGAAACAGATTTTATACGCTTGGGGCAGTTCTTATAATTTTTAAACGTTCTTCAAGCGGCACTTAGGGCATGAACTGTCTTTTAGATATAGATAATATTGGTTTGTAAGCAGCACGTAGGGCAACTCGATCGGGCAGGGAAACAGATTTTTGTACGCTTGGGGCAGTTCCTATATTTTTTAAACGGTCTTCAAGCGGCACTTAGGGCATAAATTTTCATTTTAAATAGTTACTATCGGTCTGTAAGCGGCACGTAGGGCAATAGGGCAACTCGATCGTGCAGGGAAACAGATTTTATACGCTTGGGGCAGTTCTTATAACTTTTAAACGGTCTTCAAGCGGCACTTAGGGCATAAACTTTCTTTCAAATAGTTACTATCGGTCTGTAAGCGGTACGTAGGCCAACTCGATCGTGTAGGGAAACAGATTTTTATACGCTTGGGGCAGCTCTTATAATTTTTAAACGTTCTTCAAGCGGCACTTAGGGCATGAACTGTCTTCTAGATACAGATAATATTGGTTTGTAAGCAGCACGTAGGGCAACTCGATCGTGCAGGGAAACAGATTTTCATACGCTTGGGGCAGTTCTTATGATTTTTAAACGTTCTTCAAGCGGCACTTAGGGCATAAATTTTCATTTTAAATAGTTACTATCCGTCTGTAAGCGGTAGTAGGCCAACTCGATCGTGCAGGGAAACAGATTTTCATACGCTTGGGGCAGTTCTTATAATTTTTAAACGTTCTTCAAGCGGCACTTAGGGCATAAACTTTCATTTTAAATAGTTACTATCGGTCTGTAAGCGATACGTAGGCCAACTCGATCGTGTAGGGAAACAGATTTTTATACGCTTGGGGCAGCTCTTATAATTTTTAAACGTTCTTCAAGCCGCACTTAGGGCATGAACTGTCTTCTAGATACAGATAATATTGGTTTGTAAGCAGCACGTAGGGCAACTCGATCGTGCAGGGAAACAGATTTTATACGCTTGGGGCAGTTCTTATAATTTTTAAACGTTCTTCAAGCGGCACTTAGGGCATGAACTGTCTTTTAGATATAGATAATATTGGTTTGTAAGGAGCACGTAGGGCAACTCGATCGGGCAGGGAAACAGATTTTTGTACGCTTGGGGCAGTTCCTATATTTTTTAAACGTTCTTCAAGCGGCACTTAGGGCATAAACTTTCACTTTAAATAGTTACTATCGGTCTGTAAGCGGTACGTAGGCCAACTCGATCGTGTAGGGAAACAGATTTTTATACGCTTGGGGCAGCTCTTATAATTTTTAAACGTTCTTCAAGCGGCACTTAGGGCATGAACTGTCTTCTAGATACAGATAATATTGGTTTGTAAGCAGCACGTAGGGCAACTCGATCGTGCAGGGAAACAGATTTTATACGCTTGGGGCAGTTCTTATAATTTTTAAACGTTCTTCAAGCGGCACTTAGGGCATGAACTGTCTTTTAGATATAGATAATATTGGTTTGTAAGCAGCACGTAGGGCAACTCGATCGGGCAGGGAAACAGATTTTTGTACGCTTGGGGCAGTTCCTATATTTTTTAAACGGTCTTCAAGCGGCACTTAGGGCATAAATTTTCATTTTAAATAGTTACTATCGGTCTGTAAGCGGCACGTAGGGCAACTCGATCGTGCAGGGAAACAGATTTTCATACGCTTGGGGCAGTTCTTATAATTTTCAAACGGTCTTCAAGCGGCACTTAGGGCATGAACTTTCATTTTAAATAGTTACTATCGGTCTGTAAGCGGTACGTAGGCCAATTCGATCGTGCAGGGGAACAGATTTTCATAAGCTTGGGGCATTCTTGTAATTTTTAAATTGTCTTCAAGCGGCACTTAGGGCATGAACTGTTTTTTCGATATCTTTCTTATATATAAACTGGAAACATCCATCGAGACGACGAAAACCATACATTGTTCTTCCACCCTGACGCCCACCTTCAGCGTTGCGGAGGGAGAGTTGTTGACAGTGTGAGCACGCGAGAAATCACGCTCTCTCGCAGAGGTTAAAGGCAGTGTCTCACCAAAGTTAAGGTCGCGCGGATCTTCACATAGTCTATCATAGGGACCCCCAAATAGGCCATTGCAACAAGTCCCACTCAATTTGACCCCCTCCACGGTGGGAAAAATTCGCTCAAAGTGGCAAGCGGGGAGCGAATTAGTACGCGCGGACGACTCCTTCGGTCTCCCCCCTTACGCGTTTGAACATGTCCCTCCACTTGGCCATCCACCCTCCCCTCTGTTGCTGCCACTGTGGCTGAGGCTGAAGTTGGAAGGTACAACTCGTCCACGTTGCTTCCGCGGGGCCTCCAGAAAACGGGGTTTTTGGGAACGTCGTGCGATTTTGAGCCCATACAGTGCTAGACACTGTCCGACAGGCTTGCAAAATGCAAAAATCTCGGCAACTAAATTTTGGTGAGACACTGCCTTTAAGGACGATGAGAATTCTAGAGAATCTTTCTTATATATAAACTGGAAGCATCCGGCGAGACGACGAAAACCATACATTGTTCTTCCACCCTGACGCCCACCTTCAGCGTTGCGGAGGGAGAGTTGTTCACAGTGTGAGCACGCGAGAAATCACCCTCTCTCGCAGAGGTTAAGGACGACGAGAATTCTAGAGAAACGGTGTACTCCCATCCGCAGGCAAGCTAGAGAGGAGAGAGTTGTCTCGACATTTGTCAATTGATCGCACCCTATAGGCATGCGATGACGGCAGGTGTTTTGACTTTGCTTGCGATGACGAATTGTGATTAAATACCGTATATTCGGTTTGATCACGGCCCTCACAGCTGTAGCATACCTACTGCATACATACACAGTTCCACTTCTTTTCACGTCCTTAGCTACATTCCTCCTTCATTCTAAAGACTCCCTTGCCCCCCCCCCTCTCCCATTTTGCATAACAGTTTGGTAGGAAATCTAAGCATTGTAATTCTTCATGAAATAGTCGTCAGAGCTCAACATTTTGTGAAATGTTGACGAAAATCCCAATCCGAAGAGCAATTGAACAGCAAAAAGTGGGTTTTTGGCACGTTCTTTCTCTGCGGCTGACCACTTTTTAGAGCGAAAATTTTTGTTTTTTCCCATAATTTCCACCAAAAACGGTAAAAACCTCGATTTCTACAAAATTTCAGCCACAGAAAATGCATTTGCTCCCGGAGTGAAGACCCAACATGGAAGCTGTGGTCTCGCTGGTTGAGCTCCGGCAAACTTTCTCTGTGGCTGACCTATTTTTAGAGCGAAAATTTTTGTTTTTTCCCACAATTTCCACCAAAGACGGTAAAAACCTCGATTTCGACAAAATTTCAGCCAGAAAATGCCTTTGCTCCCGAGTGAAGACCAGCATGGAAGCTGTGGTCTCGCTGGTTGAGCTCCGGCAAGCCCTTTTGTGGCTGACCTGTTTTTAGAGCGAAAATTTTTGGTTTTCTTACAAGTTCCACAAAAACCTCGATTTCGACAGAACTTCAGCCGCAGAGATTCCGTCGAAATCGAAAACACCAGCTTTCCTTTGCTCCCGGAGGAAAGACCCACCATGCATCTGCATTGGTCAGCATTTTAGGAAAGCGATTATGTTGATTTTAAGTGAGCAACGAAAGAAGCAAGTGTATCAAGTAAGTGAAATCTGGTAATGGCATTTGGAGGGAAAGATCAGGTATTTTTTTGTGTCTACCTGCAAAGTCTGATTTTTGATTTATTTAGCTTCTCCAGAGAGGAGATGTGAACACCGTTTATAGTTAGATGCAGTCCCAACTAAGCAAATACTAATGTATCTGCCCCGACCCACTTACAGCGGCCCGTAGGGCCGCTATATATATATATATATATATATATCTGGAGTAGTAAAATAGGACGCGCTTTTTTCGAATTCCCTCCCCAGCTGGATGTAGGGACATACGGGTCTTAGAGATTTTTACGTAATATAGAAAGTAACATTTAATGCGAGTAGTTCAAACTCGTTCCTTCTTGATTGTTTCAGACGGTTATATGCCCTTCTTGCCGCTCCGTCCAAGCGCTAATTACCTTGCCCCAGCTAACTGCCCCGCCTCTCTTGTGATCTAGCAGAGTTTCAAACATTTGGACTTCAAAGCGAGTGCACATTTCCGAACAATGATAAAGCCGATGTTACAGTTAAGTAGACAAGACATCAAAAAGCTTGAGTTTTTTTTACTTATTATTTTCCAATTTCTCCTTCCCACTTCTCCAATCCAACTTGAATTTTTTATGTAAGCCTCAGATTCCTTAATTCTCCTCTTTAAGAGAATACTTCTACGTAACTCGTCATTTTCAGAGCGCCTGCATTTCCAACGATAGCTTAGCTTTCTCGCGGCAGCCGCGACCAATCAGGGAGGCGCAGTAATTAGGCTGCTAAGGCTAGCGATGCAGAAGGGCCGTCTCCCGTTCCAGGTAGACGTCTGACCCAATTTCCCCTTCTTCTTGCACTCCTTTTTCGATAACCCCTCCTCTTTCTCTCACCTCAAAAACACTTACCAAGTGACATTACGCAAAGAAGTCACTTTACTGAAATTTTTGATTTTAATCCTGTACTCCGTTTCATAAACCATTGAACGTTCCCGTAGAATATAATTTCTGGTCTATTATTTTAGATTCATATTCCAAGCAAAAAGAAGGGTGCCAAGGGAAGAGCAGGTTTTGACCTCACAAAAGAATGAAGCAGCTACATTCTGGCGGAGAATCTAAACAGGTATAAAGCTACAAAAGCACAGACAGGCTGAATCTTCGGAAGAGCGTATGAATTCTTTGAATGAATTTAGGCGGTTTCGAAGATAACTTTAGAAGAAGCTGGAAACCAGGTAATGAATTTAGCAATAAAGAAGAAAATTGACACGCGTACAAAATTATGCTCTTTTAGCATGACTGATGGGTCTCTGGGCTTATTCCACATAGGGCAAGAGCTTAAAGTTTCAGTACGTGTTTGATGTTTGCGCAAGCTTTTATTTATTCTGTTGTAGCTCACCATCATATCATATGTTAGGATATTCGAGTAATGTATAGTTAGGACTGATTGAGTACATGACATGGGATTCGGTGGATTGAATGTGTTAAGCGTCATTCTGATTGAGACAAATGAAATCCCGAATCGTTTTTATACAAATTTGTTCTTGGAGTCAAATCGTCTTTATAACAGTTTTTTTATTAGACTTAGTAGTAGCTTTTGGTTACGTTCGGCTTACGCTTTTATCTTGTGCGTTCGATTCAGGTTTTCGATTCATGGCTTCATTTTTGCTCAAAAACGCAAAATCTAAATCAACTAGTCTTTGAAAATGTTTAGATTTTTCCCACTTGCTATCAAATATCAGGCAGATTGCACATTTTCGTAGCTCGCTTCGTAATCTAACTTTTTTTCAAAATCTGAGGGGGTCGCTCAAAGGGTGCACCTACTGTGGGAAGGGTTCTAAGAGGAGGAGTGCTGCTAAAAATTTTTGCATCACTAAAACTTTATCAAAAGGAGCAAATCGCGCACTTTCGAGGATCATCTTGGCTGCTACTACTAAGCCCTGAATGCAGAAATAAAATGGGAAAAAGAAATCATTTCAGTTTCGGAATTTTGGGGCCCCATTAAAAATAAAACTGTGCCGTAAAATCCAAAACAACAGGAACCTTTCTGTTCTACTCTCTTTAGCTGAGCGAAAATCGCGCGAATCGAGCTCTTCTCAAAGAAGTTGTATTTTTCGGAAACTAAGTAAAAAATTAGTTTTTAAGAGCATTAGATTCAGAAAAACTAGGTTACTGGCTGACTTGGATTTTACGGCACAGTTCTGGAATTTTTGACAAGCTCGCCTCAAAATTCCGAATTTGAAGTGATTTCCTTTTTCCAATTTCAACTCTACCTTCAAAGCTTATAGATAGCAGCCAAGGTGTCACTAGAACGTGCATAAATTGCTTTTTCAATAGCATTCTAGTTGTGCAAAAACATCGTAGTATAGAAAAGTCACGACTTTTCAAAAATGGTGCCACTAAACTTTCGATATAGCCTTATAAATCACATAATCTTCACAAAAAACTTAGTATGCGTTCCTCAGTCCCACACATTGTTTATCTCAGTAGCATTTCTTCTCTCTGCAGAAGTGGTGTCGCAGATGGGAGTCATTTCAAAAAGTTCAAAACAGTTCTGAAGGCATGCAGGTGTGATACAGGTGCTGAATGCACCGATTGGCTCAGAAGTTCTGATAAAGCGTTGCTGAAACTCTACGACTTGACAAAAGCGCATATTCTGCCGAGAAATCACCGTCAATAAATTGTGAATCCTTTCCTAGTCTTTTTTCAAATTGCCCATACAATTTAGCTGTACTATGGAGATGCCCTGCCTTATCTGGACAAAATTTGGTTTACTATATAGCTTGTGGAATTTCGTATGAATTTATACATGGCACAAAAGCAGTTCTATCTGGTTTCTAAAATTCACAGCTGTGAAATCTTGTTCGCTACAGTTCTGCTGTATTACGTCATACCTTTCCTGCTTTTTGTCCCTAGAAACTCAAGCATCAGTATGTCTTCAGTGAGATACAAAACTCTGCATCTTCAGTGAGTTAGAAAATTTCAAGCTCAAAATTCCAATTTGTGTTTAGGATCTGAATCATCTGGATTTGATGAAGTAACATTCGAATTATTTCGAAATCACTCCTCCTAATTGCCTGCTTTTTTTAATTTGTCGGGACACTCACTACGCATCCTGTTCACTGCATTCTCTCAGTCTTTTTTGACCTCAATTAGATTTTTTCAAAGTGACGTGGTGCATGTTTTTGACATCGTTTGAGAAGAAAAAATGGTTTTGTTTGCGGGCATTTGCGCAGAAAGTAAAAAAAAATGCGTTTTAAATCTCAAACATTCTTTCTCGATGACCGTTTCTTCGTCCTACACAAAATTATGTCGTGGGTAGAGAACGAACGTTAAAACTAAAATTACAGTCTATAACGTTTTCATTCCTAGAACCATAGTGATTGTTTTTCGGCACGGTTACTAAAACATCAATAAGTTATGTCAAACACGTGTGAGTCGCGCGGAGAATTTTTGCTTCTCATTAGGAAATAAATGTAATAATAATGTAATAATTGTCACTTGCGGTCATCGTGAGTGGTCGTTTCCAGCGTCAGGCTGCTAACCCAAAGGGAAGCGAGCGACAAGCCGGCTGAAGAAGAAAAATCGTCGCATCAAAATCTCTCATGTTTCAACAAAATATTCAAGTCATAGCTAGGGAGCTTCCCGGAAACGAAACAGGTTTAACATCAACAAATACGAACCGTGAAAGAAGACCGCCGTCACAGCTAGTTAAGCGGAAGCGGATAGAAATGTTGGCTCATCATACAAGACAACGATGCAAGTCTTCAAGAACGCTTCGATTGGCCACTATCAACGTAGGCTCTCTTACGGCGCGTCATAGAGAACTAGCAGATCTTCTTCGAAGACGTAAAGTGGACGTTGCCTGTGTTCAGGAGACCAGATGGAAAGGCAGTAAGTCGCGCGATATAGGAGATGGTTACAAGCTCCTGTACAATGGAACAACTAATAGCAGGAATGGAGTCGGAATAATTGTCTGCGAAAAGTTAAGGAACAGAATAACTAACGTCGAACGAATGAGTGACCGACTCATGAGCATTAGGATAGAAAATGGAAACCGCATTCTACGTGTGGTCACTGCTTACGCTCCGCAAACAGGTCGCAGTGAGGTTGAGAAAGATGAATTTTGGGGAGAACTCGACGACTACATCAGATCCGTGCCAGATGAAGAAATGCTTCTAATTGGAGCAGATCTAAACGGTCATGTAGGAGAGCGACGAGGGAGTGCAGGGAAATGCCATGGAGACCACGGATACGGGTTACGTAATGAAGAAGGAGAGCGTATTCTCGAGTTTGCTGCTGCTCATCAGCTGGCCCTGGCAAATACTTATTTTATAAAGAAAAGTAATCATTTGATTACTTACGCCAGCGGAAGTCAAAAGTCGCAAATAGACTTTTGGAGCGTTAGGCAGCACGAGCTCAGGTATGTGAAAGATAGCAAGGTCATCCCAGGCGAAGACTGCATCCCGCAACATAGACCGCTACTACTGGATCTGGATGTACCGGTTGACAAGGGAAGAAGGAAGGCTACGGAACGTAGAGTGCGCATTAAATGGTGGAAGCTCAATAATGATGCCTGCGAAAGAGCGGCAATGGAAAGTGCCTTACCAAAACTGGACAGTGATCCAGAACGTACCTGGACAATCTTGAAAAACAACGTCCATCACATAGCCGGTGAGCTAGTGGGCTACACTAAACCTGGACGACCTAGGCTTGACAAGGAAACTTGGTGGTGGAATGAAGCTGTGCAGGTTGTAATAAAGAAGAAGAAGAAAGCGTACAAGATATGGCAGAAGACACGAACAGAAGATGCTCGCAAGGAATATGTAGAAGCGAAGCGTGCAGCAAAGAATAGTGTCAAGGAGGCAAAAGAAGCATATCTGGGAAGACTTTATGAAAAGTTGCACACTCGCGAAGGCGAACGAGACATTTACCGAATTGCAAAAAGGAGAGCAAACGCCACGAACGATGTAGAGCACTTCTATAATATTAAAGATGAACACGGAAAAGTACTCACAAGGCCACAAGAGATAAATGATAGATGGAGATCATATTTTGCAAAAATGGCAGCTAAGAGCCACGAGTACGCATCCAGTGTATACGCCGATCCTGTGCTCGGACCAGTACCCAGCATTACAGAGGAAGAAGTTTTTGTCGCCATTAAGAAAACAAGGAACGGTAAAGCGACAGGTCCAGATGACGTATCTAACGAATTCTGGAAAAGTTGCGGAAAAGCTGGAGTGACATGGTTAACACAACTGCTGAATCAGATAGTTGATACCAAGAACATGCCAAGCGATTGGTACAGAAGTACGACGGTGCCGATATGGAAAAACAAAGGCGACATAGCTGACTGCTCGACGTACCGGCCCATACGACTCATGTGTCACACGATGAAGATTTTTGAAAGAATTTTAGAAACGCGACTGCGAAGCATTGTGGAATTAGCTCCCAATCAATGTGGATTTGTAAAAGGTTGCAGCACGATAGACGCCATCTATACTGCCAGGATAATGATAGAAAGAAGCAGGGAAAAACAGTGCGAGCTGCATGCAGCGTTTCTCGATCTGGAGAAGGCTTATGATAAGGTACCACATGAAATCATATGGTGGTCGCTGCGAAAACATATGGTACCAGAGGAATACGTGCAGTGGATCAAGATGATATACAAAGATGCCACGAGCCACGTACAGTCAGCAGCGGGTCAATCTGGAGACTTCCCAATACGCGCCGGCGTCCATCAAGGTTCCGTCATGTCGCCTTTTCTCTTCATTACGGTTGTGGACTCTATAGTTAAAGGTTTCATACGTCAGCCTCCGTGGGCTCTGATATACGCAGATGACATACTGTTGATGGCAAAGGACAGGGGAGAGCTGGAGGCGGAAGTGCAGAAATGGAACACTGAACTTGAGTTGCACGGCTTGAAGATCAATGCTGCGAAGACCGAGTACATGGAGATAGGCACTCAAACGCCTGGGACCATTCGAATCGGAGACATCTCAGTTAAGAAGACCACAACATTTAAATATCTGGGAAGTCGCCTTTCTGTGGATGGTATGCTCCAAGACGAGATCAGCTCCAGGATAACCGCAGCATGGTCAAAATGGAGAGGACTCACAGGAATCATGTGCGACAAGCGGATGCCGATCAAGCTGAAGTCCCAGCTGTACCGCACTGTAGTTCGCCCAACTGCTCTATATGGCAGCGAAAGTTGGCTGTGTACGCGAAATGATGA